ACCACTACTCACCTCCACACCAACCCTACCTTTACAAATCCCCACCTCCTCCTCACTACTAGATTACTTAATCGTCTACTAATGGTAATTCTTATTTCTCATACTTTACAATGCGACGCCTCAATAAAATTTTATGTGCTAACATATCTCATATATTCTTGCAGGAGTCGACGACGGTACACAAGAAAACAAAGAATCGTTTGATGATATAATAAAAGACACAAGATCATTGACGAGAAAATTGAAACGGATATACATAAGTCTAAAGAGAAAGTTTCCCATTTTAATGTCTTTTCTTTATTTCTAAATACGTTATATTGTAATAAACTTCAAACATGTTAATGAGTGTTGTCCCTTCTCATGCATGCAAATCAGTTATATGTTTGTAAGTTGAAGTCATGTTATTTTGCTTCAAATCCGTCAGTTTCAAAGTTTGATTGTTCAATTGAATAAAAGTATAAGTTTCGTTTCATTTCTCCTACACCACTATCCCATTTCAATCAGCAGAAATTCTTAAAATGAATCATCATGTTAAGTCCCCATTTAATTAAATGATTAGTATATAATTAATTTCTCTATAAGCATATATAGATAAACAGAAACATCATCGGAGGAAACTGAAAACGCGTGTATCGGTTTAAACTCAGAGGATATAGTGGAACTAGTTAACAGTCGTCGTACTTCTGTATATATTATATACGTACAACCTCTTAAGTCTTAGTTTGGACCAGACACAAACAAACAAAAACCGAGTTTGTTTGTTGACGGTAAAAGATCATATTATTTCCTTGGCTCTAACAGAATCGCAATTGACTTATGCCGTACCGTGTAATACCTATGTCACGTGCCTTTCCTCTTGTTTCTCAGAACAAAGCAAACTTTTTGTTCCACTAGGCAAGCAAGTCTACGTACCTATTAGCTTATTTCTTACTTAGTAACTCGGCTTGGGTAAAAGACTATACATTCTCGTTTTTTCTTTTTATATGTTTTTGTTTCTTCTGTAATTCTGTATTTGTATTCATCATTGTTTTTGTATTTTCTTAATTTTTCTGATGTATCAATTACAATCAATTTATTCATTTGAAACAAGAGTGGTGGTATATGTCTACATTATTTATTTGGTCACCTTAGCTATATTGGAAAAAGTAGGCAGGTCTTCATACTTGTTGTCTTGAATTATTTAAGTTGTTAGAGAGCAAATCATAAGAGTACGGTGTATTTGACTATAGCAAAATTATATTTTTTGTAAAAATAAGACATGTATAGTGTACATACATGTTTGTCCGTTTATAATCTACATATTATTGTCGTGTTTTTCGTATATTATATGTTTCACTCGGATTTTGGACTTAAACTTAAATTATGTCCTTTCTTTTTCATCTTTTTAATCTTTCCATAATCCATACATTATCTCTTTCCATCCGCAGTGGTTTATATTACTAATTTCAGAAAATCAATAATTTCAATATGAAAGCCGAACCAATTAATTTTTAATTTCAGCAGCATTTTCCCCCAAAAAAGCCCTAATCTTACATCCCGAGGATCAAATAACAATCTTAGATACTATATGTTTCTCAACTTTGATGGCCGCATTGTGATGATTTAGTTCGATCATCTATAGAATGAAACATAATGGCTCATGACACATTGCCTAAATTATGGACCCATTTTGACTTATGTGACAGAAAATATCATTAGTTATGAGCAAATCTGCATCATGAAGCACCTTCCTTCAGTTTCAAGCTAATGATATCATCATTGATATAATGTATGAAGTAATTAAATCAAACATACATATGATTGGTGTCAGAGTTGACTAAGAAGGAGATCAATTTCAATGGACAAGAAATTGCTTGGTGACATCAAAAGTGAATGATTCTCTCTATACGGATATATGTTCGGAACCACCTAGAAAGATAGTACATAGTGTAGTACAATCGCGATCAAGCACAATTAAGAAACCAGAGCTTTCTTTTTGTTGTCTAGAGTTCAGGTGAAACTGAGATGTTTTAAGGATTCAAAGAGGAAAAAATGTTGAAAAATGTTTGAAGCTTAAGATGATCACATATCAAAGCTTGAAGCTTAAGGCAATCACAAAGCAAGACTAGAATCATAGCACATTCCATTTAACAGTTTTACCAACGTCAGGATTACACGAAAACAAACACAAAACACATCGTGAAACAGCAGTAACAACAAAGAAGCAGAAACAATCATACAGAAATCAGCAAATAATCGTAAACAGAGATATAGATATTCCTTCCTCCTATTGGAATGCGCAAAAAACACAAACGCACCTTCTTCTTTTTTGTCATGGCATCATTGTAAGCTTAGCATCAAACACAAAACCTCGACACAATCCATCTGCATAACCAGGGACACCATCAATCCATCTCCAACCTTCCCAACAATCCCACATTGCAAGCTTCCCCATTCTTTTAGCAGAGAAGTAAACCCTATCTCCACCTCCGAAAACTTTGAACTTACTCGATTCTTGAAAACCTCGGTACATCTCTAACGGCATTCTACCTGCTTCTTCCCATTCCAAGCTTTCTAAATCCAACCTAAGTATCAGAATAGTCGAACAAGCCGGGTTCAACGAAAACGTCGATTTCAATCCACCAATCATCAGAAGCTTAGAGTCTCCGTTACCGCGCAACAAACGTGGTCGTTTAATGATATCGAATATATCACCCCATTCATGTTTCTCCAAGCAAACCCAATTGGTATGAGTGATTGTGAGATTCGTCAATTTACATGAGAAAAGCTTCCATTGGCTTCTCCATGGAGAGCCAACATCACACAATGCGAAAACCGAGCTCGACATTAACACAGGACTTCTAGGTTTCGATGGTAAATTCGATGAGAATTTGAACCATTGATTAGCAACTACAGTACCTGAGTAATACAACGCAGCGAGCTCAGTGAGCACCATGACTCGATTAACCGAATCAACAAGAACAGTACCATGGCGTGACCAAGCCGAGCCAAGCTGAGGCAAAACCTTAAACTGACGAGTCAATGGATTACAAGCGACGAGCGATTTGCTAGACTCAGCTAAATCAATCGAATCTCCCCAAAGATAGATCAATCCGCTAGAAGAAGCTACAGGCTGAGGAGATCGGAAAGGGAGGAAATCGAGATTGAATCTGAACCATTGATTCTGCTCTGGATCGTATACATGGATGTACGGTCGGATGTTCGTGGCGTGTCCGTTTCCGCTGTGACGGTGACTGTGGTGGTGATGAGGAGGTCGGAGAGCGAGTAGATTCAACGGCGGACGAGTTGAGATGATCTCTATGAAGCATTGAGAGGTCAAAAGCTGGTTAAAGAACTTGCACACGGATCTGCAAACCATGATATCACGGAGGGGAAGAGATGAGAAGATCTGGTGGAGAGAATCCGGTGGAAGACGGTTGATCGGAGACGATTCCATGGTTGTCTCTTCCTCCTCCTCCTCCGTTGGTTTGCGGCGGCGGAGAGAAATGGTCTAATCGAGATTTGTTGGAAAACTTAAGGGTAAAATGGGAAAAGTAAGAGAATTCGCCGTTGTATGCGTTGTCATTGGTTGCGATTTTGGGTATTGTAATGAGAGTGGTGAAGAAAAGGGAATAATTTATAGTTCCCATTTTGTCCTTGGTTTTGCTTAATGCGCTGAGTCACCTACTTGTCTGGTTATCATTTGAATATTTCATAATTGACTATTTTTTTTTCTTTGTTAATTTTTTTTAATTATAAAGTTTTTGTTATTAGAAAGACTCGACATACGCATTTTTCAGAGATTCATAATTGTTTAAACCTACTTAACATTATTAATTTATTAGCAATCAATAATTTGTAGAGCATGGAAGGGCACAACTTCCACCATATCTAGTTACCTACAAAAAGAAAATAGTGGTACTATACTACTGTTATAGTATTGATATATCGTGTACATCTTCTTCTTGTCAGCTCAAATGTGAGACAGTGAATACAAGGTTATTGTAGTTTTTGATCTTCTTCATCAGAGAGGGTACTTATGTTTTTGATCTTCATTGAAGGTTGCACCTGAGTTTTGCAGCCTGAGCCTTTGGCCTTTCTTGGAAATGTCAAGTTCAATTCAAGTTTTTAGAACTGTAAACCATAAGCCACTTCGTCTAGGAATACCAGTAGAAAAGAGACAAACGCATACATCCACAAAGTCTAATCGACTTGTAAATGGACTAGTAACAAGTTTGAGGGAAAAAAGAAAGAGAAAAATGCAAATTAAATGCTGAAATGATTACGTCGTTTCATTACGTCGTTTTTAATCCCCAACTTTTCCTGAAATGATTTAAATGCTGAACTTTCTTTGACTTTCCAGTTAAATGCCAAACTTTGTTTGACTTTGCCATTTAAGACCCGACGTTAAGTCGATTAACGGAGTAATTAAACGCCGATTAAATGTTGTTAACAGCTAGATTGAATTAAAACAATGTTGTTTCTAACATACATCAACAACGTCGTTTTCTCAATTTACAAAACCCAAATTCGATTTCATTTGCCCCAAACCAAAAAATCCCCAAATACATAACCCTAGTAATTGATTACACTTTGACGGCACACCACGGACTCCGACAACGTTCGATGTTATAGAACTTGAACTCATTATAACAAGTTGAGAGAATCACAAGAATGAATCCAAAAGAGAATGAGTAAATCCCAGAAGAGAATGAAAGAAATCTGAAGCTTTCGATTTCTAGGGTTATGGGTTTGGAGATTTTGCGATTTGGGGCAAATGAGTTTGATTGGGGTTTTGTAAATTCAAAAAACGACGTCGTTTATGTGTATTAAAACAGCATCGTTTTAATTTAAGAGAAGCTGTTAACGGCATTTAATCAGCGTTTAATTGTTCTGTTAATCGACTTAACGTCGGGCCTTAAATGACAAATTTCAGGCAAATTTGGAGATTAAAAACGACTCAATAAAACAATTCAGCATTTAATTGGCATTTATTGGCATTTTTCCCGAAAAAGAAAGAATAGACAAGTTCAATACTTTTGTTTTTAATATATAAAAAAATAAAGAGTTTACACAGTCCCGCATTGTTTAAAACAAAGTCGACGGTTTAGAGAAGAACCTAACAACCTCAATAGTCAAGTTCAGTACCATGGGCTTGTAAATTGTAATCCAGCGGAGGAAAAATGATTGTATATTGGAACCAACTAGTTGATCTGGACGTCTATTCGTCGCACGTTCCAAGTTTGAACGAGGCGTGTAGTTCACCCGGCTCCGAACCATGTGACTTTTGCCACATACTCCAACACTAGGTCACGACAAATGATCAAACTTGGTAAGAAGCTCAAGATTCTCTTTTACAAGATGTGCCTCCGGTGATAAAAGACTTTACACGCCTCATACATTTTACCTTCAGGCTCAAGCCGTTAGGCAAATGCTTAAACAGAAAAGTTTATAATATTTGTCTAAACAAACTCAAACGTTGCTCCAAACTTTCATCGACTACGATTTAATTTTATGAGAACAACAATCGCCACATTATAACCCAAAATTTCTAACTACTTCACAAAATAGGTCGTTTTAACTTTTCAACAAAGAAGACAAAAAAACAAAACACAGAGAATAAAGCCCTCTGGTCTTAGTGACAATGGTTTTAAAACTTGGTCATACATGGCACAACGCATTGGCTTCCTCTATGCCAAAGACCCTTAACATCATCATCCCCATTGCTGCAACCATCCATGTATGTATGTATATATATATATATATAGAGAGAGAGAGAGAGAGAGAAAGAGAGAGAGAGAGAGAGAGAGAGAGAGAGAGAAGCAGGAGCAGCAATAAAGATGACGAGTTTCAGCAAGAAACAACCAAGCGGCACCACTCAAACTCATTAGAGTCATCATCACAGGGCTTAACATTCTCTAAAAAACAACAACAAACAATGATTAACCATATCTATACCAAACACCAAAACTACAAATCTTAGTAATAAAAGAAAACAATCCCTCAGTACTCACAAAATCAGTCATATGCGGCGCATCAAAAACCAGTTCTCAAATTGACCCGTAGTTACCATTGCAAGAAACCAGTAGTAGCAGCAGCAGCAGAGAAATACGAGGAAGAAGAAGAAGAAGAAGAGATGGTGTCAATGATGATGATGATAATGATGATGTAGAGCAACAATGGTAACTACGAGAACAAAATTCAAAAACCAGGGCACCACTCAGAATTTGAGTTTTTCACATCAGTGGGCAAAAAAACCACAGAAACACAAAAGATAAAAACTGAAACTTAAAAGAAAAAGCCCTCAGATCTCATAGCTATAAATCTGATCATTCACGGCTTAAAGTAAATGAATAAAATCCAGCAACCTTAAAAAAGCCCTGAACACCACCGTTTCGCATCCGACGAACCTGTGTGGTGGATAGATGATAATGGTGGAAGTGTGCGCGTGTGATTGTTGTCGACGGCGAAACGACAGCGTTCAAGGCTTTTAGGTTAAAACAACACGCCGGAGATTACCCAAATACAACCGCTCTATAACATAATTTTATGCATCATTGGGCAAATCAAACAACAATAACAAACAAAAACTGCAGAACTATTTGAGGACGATCGGACTCAAACCCATTACCAACAAAGATTTTGAAAAACTAGAAGCAATAAAGAAAAACCATTACCAAACTAAGTTTCGACAAACTAGAACCAGAAATTAGCTAATCGGCGAGAAGAAAGCGAGAAAACAGATCTGGGATTGAACTTTGAAGCTTAGATAAAGACGATGAAATTAGGGCTTCAGATGGTGAATGACGATTATACCCTTGTTATTGATATTGTAGATAATTAGGTTCATGGGCTTTTGAGGTTTTAATCCATAAGTGTAAAGCCCATTATGATTTAGGTTTTTCTTTACATATACAGAATCTTTTTAGACAGAAGCATTCTTTCTCTTCTCTTGTGTTTACGCAGGACCGGCCCTGAAACATGGCTTGAGCCCAAAAAAATTGGTCCCTAATTTTATATTTGTTTGCAACAAAGGTCCTAAAGTTTACAAAAGTTTAAAACTTACTTATATATTTAAGAAAATGTTAAAAACTCCTCCAAAATTTTGCTTTGGCCTAAAATTTCAGGGCCGACCCTGTCGTTACGGTTTTGAATTCTAATCATGGTGGGGAAGTGAAAGATGATGAATATATAAGACAACTCTTATTTGTTGTTTTACTACCAATTCAAGAAACCAAGGGCTTCACGATTAATTGGGAGCAATATGATTATGCGTTCCATATTAGATCATTGGATCATTCACCATGCACAACTTATTAGCCAGAAAAAAAAAACAATGCTGAATTGATTCATGAGGCGACACTTTTTGCTATTGAGAAACACAGCAAAGTTAAGTGAACAAAACTTGTGTTTGTTGAGCATGTACAACCAAGTTACAAATATGTTGCTGGTCTTCTCTATTGGTTAACATTTTGGGCTATAGATATGGACGAAGAGTCGAAAATCTATCAAGCGAAAGTGTGGCGCCTCGGAAAACAGTTTGATATTCCTATTTTCAGGCTAAAAGCATCTCCAATGCGCATCTCTATAATTTTCTCTATTTTAGAGGAGATTTTGCTCCAATGTATGCCTCTAAAATAGAAAGAGACATTGGATTACTCTATATATAGAGGCATACATTGTCTCTTTCCTCTATTTTAGAGGGATACATTGGACCAAATCTCCTCAAAAGTAGAGAAAGGGCATTGGAGATGGTCTTAAGCCGCGGAAAACATTGGATTAACAATTTAAACTTTTGTTTTGTTTTTACTTGTGGTTTTTTTGTGCTTGTTTTAAGCAAATCTTACAAATTAAATCACTATATTGCATGTTTTGGTCCTTGTACTAGAATTTAGTATGCAAAACGCTGACAACAAGATTACAATACATTATGAGATCGAGTAATCAATCACAACTAGCTTTGGTGGTGTGATTTAGTGCTCCACCACTCTTGTAGCTGACAGTTATTAAACACACAAACCTTATACCGTAATTAATTTAGCGTTCAATATTAAAGTGATCTATAAAGGATAATATTTCATTTTCAAACTACGATTCATAACACACTTTCTTGATTAAGATTGTTAGAAGAAAACAATCTTAATGTTTTTTCCAAAAACTTCCAAAAGAAAACGAATAATATCTGACCAAGGAAAACAGTACAATTTTATAGACCAATTAGTCTTATGATTTACCTTATCACTTATCATATACTCCCTCCGTTTCAATTTAGTTGTCGTTTTAGGATTTAAATTTTGTTTCATAATAATTGTCGTTTTAGGTTTTCAATGCAAATATTTGGTGAAAATTTCAGTTTTATCCCTACTGTTTTAATGTTTTGGCCAATGAAATTTTTTATAAAATATATTAATAAAGGGTAAAACAAAAAATTTAATGTTTTTTTTAATTTGTGTGAAAAAACCTTAAACGACAACTAAAACGAAACGGAGGGAGTATCTGTTTAGAAAATGAAATTAAAATCTTAACGATCTTTTACTAATCAAAAGCGGCAACTAGGAGCTGAATCACATTGACCCTTTTAAAAACGACTCCGCAGGATGGCCCTTCAAATACATTTTTGCCTTTTGGATCACCAAAATGAGATGAAATTATACTTTGAAATTTTGATTATGTCACATAACTTGATTAATTAAACTATAACTATCGTAGTTAGGTCAATTCTTATTTTAGTTATCCAATCATTTAATTTTCCTCGCAAAAATCCGCACATAGTGGTTGATTTGTTGTTTGATTGGTCCACATCTCCAAAACAAGATCACCAATATTCAATAACAAGTTTAGCTAAACTTTTATGAATTGTGAGGCAAATAAATGAATATCAACAAAAAAAATAGCTAATTCATATTTTTGTTTGTAAAAATAAACACTTTTTCTTTTATCAAATGTGAAAATAAACACAAACATACATATTCCTCGTCATTACTTTTATTTAAACCACCTAACAACTATTAAAGAACTTGAACAAAATCTTTCATAAAGAACGTAAATTTAAAATGATGCGCCAACGTGGGGTGTCTCTCTACTTGATGGACTCTTCACACCATATTCACATACGATTGGTCCTTTAGAATTGTAGAAGAATATAACTAATAAGACAATAGTTTGACACTAATAATAAAAATCTACTACTAATACAATTAAAAATTTCTAAAAAGTAACTATAAATCTCGAAGACAACCATTGAAATCTATGTCATTCACAGACGATAGAGAGAGAGTATTTCTGATCATTCGATGTTTCTACTAACGATAAGTCGCATCGGTTCGTACGTACCACCGTGGTAAGTGGTAACGCAAGAACCGGCGTTCTGCCATGTAGCTTTTTCCGACAAGGAATGCTTGCCGTTTTCTAAAACCTGCTCTGACGTCAAGCCGGCAAGCAGTGTGCTCACTTCTCGGTGTCTGTCATTTGCTCTACCTCCTAAGTCGTACCCTTAACATAATTTCATGTTTATCCATTTTTTTTCTTATTGAAATCTTTTTAAATGTATCAAACTTGTCATCAATGTAAAATGGGAGATATATTTCAACAACCAAATACAGATTTATGATTTCTAGTTATTCTAGTTTTGGGTTTTGACCGTTATGAATACAAATCAAATTATGGATTTGAAAAACCAAACTCAGAATTAACTTTTTGGTTGCACCAATAAACAACATAAGCAGATCAGAATAAATGAAAGCTTTAAAACAAATCTAATTCTGAGATTCTCGGTGAAAAATAAAACACCACGAAACAAGAATCTCCAAAGCAAATCTGAGAACATTACATACAAAGCTGACTTTTTGACTTATTCGCAGGCGAGTTTTGTATCGAAACTGCTTAAACAGATAGCGAAAGCTTGAAACGCTGAGAGCGGATACCGGAAATCCATCGTGAACATGTCTTTTCCCACTTTACCAAACTGCAATATGATCTTGTCGGGACCATCGGTCTGACCCGACGGTTGCGGCTGAGTTAGAGGCTGAATTTGAGGTTGAGGTTGCGGTTGAGGCTGGGGCTGAGGTTGGTTTGCAGCAATCAGCTGAAAGTTCTTAACTGATGCGACAGTTACTCGTCCCCTGAAGTTTAAACACCAGCATTGAAGCTGTTCATGCCACCTCGGCGGCTTGTTCTTAAGCACAAGCGGTGGCAAATTCCGCTCTTTCCCTTCTTCTAATACCGCTTCTTCGTCCTCGCCTAACGGGCCGAGAATGTCGGAAAACCGTGCGCTACTAAAATCGTTCGAGTAATCGTAAGTGATTTTTCTTGACGAGGAGGAGGTAATACTGCGGAACGATTCGTCGAGAATAGAGCGCGGGACAATGATATCGGGCTGTCCAGGCACGGTTCCGCCTTCAGCGAGGGAAGAGGCGGGAATTGAGTTCATCGCACAATGCATTCTCCTTGGACCGCGAGTACCAAGAACGTTTAGCTCATAAGAAACCTGCGCAATTTTGTAGCTCCCACCCGGTACTTTGGGAGAGACTCTCTTTGAGTAAAATCTGCGGCTAAGGCCTACCGGTTGGACCACTCGAGCGGTGTTGCTGTTGTATGCAGGTTGTGTATCGTATATTACGAACTTCGTCCCCAGAAAATTAGACCTGCAAAAGAGAAGAGGAAATCACGGATTAAGCTGGAAACTTTCGCTTCTATATGTTTTATAACTAGGCAAAGACTTTTACCTGATTTTGCCAATGTAAGTATTGCTTGATCTCGAAATGGTGTCGGCGTGCATAGAGATCACGTACTCGGTGTAAGTAGTTCTTCTTATGCGTTTTGCAGAAAGAAGGAACTTTCCATTCTCAACCAACAAAGCTGCATAGTAAACATAAAAACAGATTATCGATATGAGGCAGAAAAAAAAAAAGAGAAAGATTTGGAACAAAATCAAATAAAATGATGCTTTACCAGGACTGAGACAAAGGTATAAATGATAAGTCAAGTTAGATTTATCCCTTTTGATAAAGCATTGCATTGTTGCATCTCTTGGTCCCGGCTATAAACACCGAAAAAGAAACTTGAAATCATCAAAAAATTAACCAAAGCATATGTGATTATGACACTAGAAAGAATCGAAAATCTAACCTGTTTAAGCGAAACAGGAAATGTGATTTTGCCCGAGAGCTCGGGACTTTGAACAATCTCTTTGCACATATCTCTCCATGACCTGCACACAGAAGCACAAGCAACCACATGTCTACGAGCAGGCCACACACTTTCGCTCTCTTCAAGTCTTTTGATCACATCGCGCAATAACTCTGGAGGTAGATTCGCCCACGGGGTTTCTTGAATCGTTACTACAAGTTGTTCTTCATGAGAATCTTGAACCGAGCCACGAGATTTCCCACCTTCTTTGTGCAAGCTGCTTAGCTTAAAGTCGAAACTACGCCTCGACAGACTTCCAATACTGTCTCTCACATCACGAACTATGCTGCGGAACGACATTTTCTTTCTCTCTCTCTCTCTCTCTCTCTCAAGGTTCTGGAAGACACAAAAGCAGAGTTTGATTCAAATTCTCAATGATACTTAATAACAAAGCAATGACAGAGAAGAGAAGAAAAGAAGATTCTCATCAATGGACCAAAAGCAGGAAACACCACAGGCTTTTATTAAATTGAAGAAACATTCTTTTGATTCACATTTAGTAAAAAGAGAAGACAACAACTTCAAAATTGAAAGACAGAATTCAAATGAAGAATCTTCTAAAGAAAAAGGAAACAAACAGTCTCTGCCCCCAAGAACAAAGTCTGTTTATTGGTCCCAAAATAATTGAGATCTGATTCCAAGTATAAACCCTCTAAGTATTCTTTGGATTCAATTGAGAAAAGATAAGTCTTTACTACTTCAAGAAGAGAAAACAAAAAAAAAAAAGGAAACTTTCAAGATTTACATAAATCAAGTAGAAACAAAGACTCTAGATTCTCTATCATATAGTAGATCACAAATTAGGGCTTTTCTTATCTAAATCTTTAGTTGATTAAATTGCTCTATAAAGAGATATAGATCTAGAGTTTCATAATCACAGCTTTAAAATTTGACCAATTCTACATGAAACACACACACAGAAGATTGATACTCGAACATAAAAACAGAGAGATCTGTTAATGAATTCGAAGAACAAAAAAGAGAGACACTCCACACCTCAAAATGCTTCCCCCAAAACCCAGAAATGTAAAGAGAACCGTAAAATCAAATCTTGAAACTTTCCAGACGAAACATAAAGAAACTAAAAATTGGGTCAGAACTTACAGAGTTCTGTCTTTGGTTTTCCTCGTCTTCTCCGTTCAAATCCTTTTAAGTTTTTTTTTTTGTCTCGATCTTTGTTTCTCTCTCTAGAAGTTATCTGTCTCGTATAGCACGCGGAAACCAACTACGTTGTCCTCCGCTCCACGAACACGAACACATCTTCAATTTTTTCACTATTTTATTTAATGAAACTGTTTATTACTCTCTTGAGTCTTGACTATATAATATTCTCTGTTTGTGCAAGAAATTTAATTATATAATAATGCTTTTAAATGAAACATAAATTAATGTAAAACAAATAATATCTCCACTGAGCAGAAATTTTTTATATATTCAGCAAGTTGTTTTTAGTCGTTGACCTCCTCTCATTTCTTAAAAAAATATCCCGAAAAACAATTTTGTAGAGATTATCTCTCTAGGTAAGATTTATGTTTCTTTTTATCAAAAAAAAAAAAGATTTATGTTTCTTAACTTGTATGTTGTTGATAACATCTAAATATGTACATGTTTTTTACAAAAAAAAAAAAAGGAAAAGTTGTCATGATGAGTATACCAGAAAATTGATATACAAAATGTGAATACAGAAAATAGTTTAAAGGGTTGTTATATATGGTAGGGTTTACCTACCGTTCTTTGATGAGATTATTCAACTTTGGTTTCTCGTAAAACATTCTTTAAGTGTAGATTAACAAAATATTGATGGCTATCTGCCCAAAGATGAAATAAAATTTGTAACGTTTTCTTAAACCAACTATTCAAACTCTTATTAATATCGAAAGTCACACGAGGTGTTTGGCTGCCAGCCATAATAAATTCATTAGTGCAAATCTATGTGGAAACGACAAGTCTCAAACTCATAAAGCTTTTTTATCCTTTTGTGGCAAATCATATCCCTTTGATTGGACTTCACTTTTATATTTGAATTCCACTATCATTGGCTTTGGTCGATTTCTTCAAACTTCTTAATTATTTGTCAACTTTCATATACCAAAAAAAATCTATTTAACCAATTATTTGATTATTAGTAGAAAAAATGGAAGATTTTTGACAAAAAAAAAAAGGAAAATGGAAGATTGATTACGTGAGAACAAATAGATATGGATAAATGGATAAGGTAAAAAGGCTATTTATTCCATAAATTTGAACGGCTGAGATTGATCAATCCGTGATGAGATTAGTTGAGCAACACACACTCGTCATAAAGACAATTTCTCCATCCAACATAACGTGTAAATACCTACAATACCCCTGATTATGTAGTAATTACTAGTACTACTTACTTATCATTATTAATGTAATGGAGTTTATTTTGTAACAGTGTCATTGAGAATTTTAGATAGATAGATAACAGTATCCGAATATGTAACAGTATTTGGATACTACATATGCAATTATATTATCCGAATTTGTAATGTCGACTATATGTCTATATCATCTGATTTAATTTTTTTATTAACAAAGAACCAAATACAAAGAAAAAAAATATCATTGCGCATAGGTGGAGAAGAAGATGTATTCATTATATTAGAAATTTAAAATACTAGTAGTAAATTATTTATTTATTTGGAATCAATGCTGTGAAAGATTTGCAAGCTAGAAACAACTAATTCCGATTCGAGTTATAAGAAAACGACAAAAAGAATAAATTTCGTGGATTTATGTTTATTTTGGAAAGCGATACGTCGTGGCAGGTAAGGCACATCAAAAAGGTTGACTTTGACCTCAAAAGCCTCGAACTGGTCTGAGATATATAGAGGCTTTAATCTCATATATGGAAAACTGAAATGTAAGGAAAAGCATGGTTAGTGGTAGTTTTTTTGGGTATTTTTTTTTTTTTTTAATATACACTAAACTACTATTTTCAAATTATTCATTAATATTATTTGCTACTAGGACTCAGAACTCCCGTGATGTCGTGGAAGAATATATTTCAAAAATCGTTTAAAAAAATATCAAACGAAAAATCATAATGAATTGTATTAATTTTGAATTTTTTTTAATATCAAATCAATATATATTTTACAAAAATTATGATAAAAAAAACTCTCACAAGCATTTATTAAGTATATGAATATTAGAAAGACATTAATTTGTAACTAAAAAACTATTCCCAAATGCAAAAAAAAAACATCAAATAAACCAAAAGTTACAACGGTTTGATAAATAAACCAAAATATTCAACGTCAAGTAAACCAAATGCTACTATGTTATTAAACGGTAACAATAATTTATTTAAATATATTTTAGTAATTAAATAGTTTTTACAAAATATGAAAAACTTTAACCGAGAGACGTAACCGTAGATATCAAATATACCAAAAGCTGCAACGGTTCGTCAAATATACCATATGTTGTAATGGTTCATCAAATATACTAAAGATTACAATAGTTTGTAAAACAAAACCAAAAGTTGCAATGATTCGTCAAATATCCAAATATCAATGAAATAATTACAATCTCATTTAAATACATTTTAATAATTTTTAATTAAGAATTGAAAAAAATAATTTATGAAAGGTTACACCGACAGTAGATAATTAAATGTTATGAAGATTTATAAAATAAACTTAAAGTGGCAATTATTCATGAAATAAACTAAATGTTGCAAAGGTTCAACTAAATGGTTGCAACCGTTTTATGAAGAGTTACAATAAAAAAATGCAACCGTATAAAACATTTACTCAAATTGCAACTTTCTCAAAAAACATAACGTAAAAAATATTTTTTTAGTTTTAAAAAAAAATAAACGAAATATTGCGATATACCAAAAGTTGCAATGGTTTGTCAAGTTCGTCAAATAAACTAAAGATTACAACGGTTCCTAAAACAAAACCAAAAATTGCAATGATTTTTTAAATAAACTAAATGTTACAACAGTTCAATTAAACGGTTACAATCTCATTTAAATATATTTTGATAATTAAAAAATAAAAATATAAAATATAATAATTTATGAAAAGTTATACCAAAAGACTCGACGGTAGATAATTAAATGTAAATATGCATATATATATAAAATAAACCAAAAAGGTTGTAATTGTTCGTGAAATAAACTAGATATATAAACCAAAGATTACAATTGTTCGTAAAATATACAAAATATTGCAATGATTCTAATAAGCGGTTTCAACTGTTTATGAACAGTTACAATAAAAGGACGCAAACGTTCAGATGTGCAAATGGTATTTATTAGATTGCTATTATATATAGATTATTTGCCTTTTTTATTTGAAAAACTAGTGACATTTAACAAACATTTGTAGTAATGGTTTGTACTAGGATTGTTATTGTGTCACTCACCGAATTTAAATTTGTTATAATGCATGTTGATGAAAAAACTACTGACATTAAAATTTAAATGAAAATCCTAAAGAAATTGCAGATATTTTGGCAGTTTTGTAAACAAGACAATGAAAATGTTGACTATTCATATTAGTTTGGTATAATTTTAAAATCGTTCAATAAATTTTTTTGTATTTGATAATGTAATTTACTTACTGATCTATATTATATCATTATAATCTAGCCATGGTTACAACGAATACTGTAGTGTAAGGAATATGAACTACAAAGATAACAATGCAAAATAAATTGGAAAATGAAGCAAATATCATTGCACTGTGTTTAAATAGTTTAAATAAAAGTTGGCACGAACAAAACCAACCCAAAAGCAAAAGTATCCACCGAGCCACTAGTATACAAAAACAGATTGAATGATTAGTAGTTTTAACTATTTTAAATACCTAAAGAAATAAAAAAAGACACGTGGTGCGAGTGAGACCTATTTACCTAAGACCAGGAGGGCTTCAATGTCACGCAGCAGGAGAATAAAATAAAAACCAATTTGGTTACTACAATTTTGATCAAGTAACTAATTTAAATCAGCTTACACACACGTACATAGTCTATATGTGTGCTTAAAGGATTTAAACATATAAATAATATCGAAAGCGTACGTGTTGCCTATACGAAGCAGAATTTCGTGACTTTCGTGAGAACCATCCCTGCTAGCATAAAAACAAGTTCGGGCTTTCGTCAATGTTAAGGAACATATACCTTAAACAATTTTGTCAATTTTCATCATGATATTTTGAACTTCTGTATACATTATTCGAGATGAAGAATCTCAAACTGAAATACCGATCGAGTTTGTCCTGCAGAATTCTTCATTAAAGATATTGACTATAAAAAGAAGAAACCTTACCATGGATAGATGACTTTTGTAAATTATCATGGAAACTTATTAATAAAGCCCTCAAACAACTAATCATTTCAGTATTTATTATCTTCGTACTCATATATAATATATTCAATTATACATCTATCAACTTATTTCTTTTTTTGTTTGTTGTCTTAAACTGTGTTGTGCTCAAAGTACAGATTTATTCGAAATGGTGATAACTGGATTTGAAGAGTAACGTATTGGGCCTCCTCTTAAGTCGTATTAATAATTAAAGGCCCAAAATTAAAATCATTTTAGTTGGACAATTGTGAAACCCAACTAGCGTACAGAATAATTGACACTTATGAAAAAGAAGCCATAATAGTAAATTAGGAAGTCCTATCTACAAGAAAATAAATTAAAATGAATAATGGGTCCATTTATTTATTAAAAAAATTCTGTTGTAGTTTACGTTTTTTATTTGGGTCAAGCCAAGCAAGGTTACGGTAAGATCAAAATATGTCAATTATTCCAATTATTATAGGTGACAATGACCTGTATGATAACGATAGACGGTAACGAACTTGGCATGACAAATGAGGTTGACCATCAATATATATAAATATTAGATATCTATACCTTTATAGAAGAAACTCAATAAGATGAATGAATACTCGTAACTAAACAAATATACATTAATAAAAGAAATTCCTAAAAAAGGAAATCAACTAATCACCAATGTGGTTTTTTTTTTTTTTCTGTATCACTGTTCTACAAAATACAGATAAGAAAAATACACAAATTTATTTTCAAAAATTAGTGTCTACGGCCAAAAAATCATTTTTCTCGACGTGATATTATTGTCAAATGGAATAAAGTTGTTTCGCTATTTTAAGGAATTTTTTTTATTTTTCTTTTTTATTGCTCTCACTTCTCACATGGTTTGTTGGAAATTAAGCAACTTATTTGGGACAAAAGAAAAAGGCTTCAAAAATCCACGTAAGCGAAAAATAATATCCTACGTGGCAAATATCACATACAAAAACGTTTCAAGTCACTTAAAATAGATCGAACGACCCAAACTTTGACACGTCACATTATTTAACGGCTCTTGATGTTACGCCTATGCTTAAATTTGTCCCATCTTTTAATCAGTTTAGAGCCTCTCTCGATTTTGGTTGGTATTACTATAAATTACTACAATTTACTAAATTGTACTATAAATAATACGGAATACTTTGGTTTCAATAAATAAAATTAAAAATATACATATATA